GCACTCCACGATTCAGGAGAAAATGCAATCCCTTACAGAAAAGCCTGTTCAGCATACAGGCTTCCCTGGCAACTGAAATACCTTCCCCATTGGTTAAAAAATGGTGAGTTACCAAAACCTGAAGAACAATAAGAAATTCTTTTCAGACAGTGAGTGCCCTAACTGGAAGATGATGGTTAGAAGCACCTTGCCATAAGACTGGAAACATAGCAGTCAGTTATTAAAATGACCTGCTCACTGGTAAAGTGTTTCATCTGGCTGCACCACAAATTTTTGTAGACTTATGATCAGTTTGTACCTGTGAAGATAACAATGAAATGTTGGAATGCTACTTGGATAAGGTCTCATCAAGCACAGGCACAGGTGTGCACAGACCCCCACTGCCCATGGTCAAGGGACTGTACCTTAACTGCTTGAGCAGACCAGATTTGAAGGAGGAAGTTTAACAGAAAAAGCAATATTGACCATATTAAGGGTATTCAGACTCCTCTGGTCTTTCAAGATTTAAATATTTTTCTCCCATATGCATGGTTTTTCCTTAAAAAGGGCATTTAAAGAGCCCTTCAAATAGACATTATGGCACACACTAGCCAAGGCTTTAAGCATAGCAAGGCAATGGAGAACAGTATTTTTTCCCCCTTGTACAGAAGCATTAAAATCGTTGTAAGCTACAATAACAGTAATCTTGCTCCTAGTCAAACAATGCACACAACATAATGACTATTTTTGCAAGCTAACAGCTCTGCTTGCTGTACAGCATTAAAATGCATTTTCCCCAAACCCCCCAGTGGCCAAACTACAATGATGGCCCCTCTGCTGGGACCCCCACAGAGCAGGAGGCTGTGCTGGGGCTGCCCAGCTGGACAGGACAGCTGTGGGTGCTTTGAAGAAAGCTCAGTGGGCACAGTCGAGTGCCTCAGCACAGCTTGGGACACACAGCCACACTGCAGTCCTAACCCACAGGACAAGCCTGGCCAAAGCTCCTCTGGTAATGCTACAACAGGGAAAAACACTACCCAGCATTTGATATGTCTCCATTCGTGCTGTTCAGTGCTGAAGCAAAAGCAGCAGCTTATGCTGTAAGTGTTCTTGCTGTAATTTTGTGCCCATAATACACATGCTGTATTTACACCACCACATTCAAGAATTTCAGACTTTAAGGACTGCCTATGAAATATAGTTCCTTCTAAAGTCATATTTAAACATCAAAATTTTCTGGTATTTATCTACCACATCTCTCTCTGTCCAAGTTTTCCAACTGAATTATTTTCATGGCTTAATCTTTTTCATAAAGCAATTTCCTAAGAACTTGCAGAAGTGTCCATTGTTTTTGGAGAATACAAACAGAAACACTTATTTCTACACACTCTGAAGACGAAAACAAACATTTTATTGAGAAAATATCACTGAATAGATATCAGTTGTTCCTTCTGAGGTTGAAAAATCCAGCAATGTGAATTACTCAGCATTATAGCAGTTTTTTGCCTTTCATCTCACTGACAGCATCAGTGACAGAATGACAACCAAAAAAGAGGGAGAAGGAGAGATAAAAGGACACACAAATATATTGCAACAACATTAGGTCTACACAGGTTGAGTATTGATGTGCTATGAGCATAGAATGGTCTGGAATGACACAATCAGGAAAAGGCAATGCCAAGAAGGGTTTTTCTCTTTCTTATTAATTGATTATTCTCTTTGCTACCAGAAGGAATTTAGGCCAACACTCCTGCTTTCCTAGTAGAGACATGTAAAGGAGGGTGTGGGGGAAACACTGAAATAATTCAAACATCTAGCTCCTTTTGTTTTCCTTAGGCATTGCACACTGCTGCTGGTTTAATAAGAATGTCTTAGGTGCTGCCTAACTGTGCCAAATTAAAAAGAAGCCTCTCCTCTGCAGCAGCTAAATGCTGGCACCCTGCAAAAACATGTGTAATATGTTTCACCTTCACAATGGTCAAATGTATTAATAATTATGCAGAAATCAAATGTAATGTAACATCTTCTTATGATAAAAAGGTATATTAAACTGAGGACTCTTCTCACAGAAAAAATCCCTTTGCTACTAAAAAGTGGTATTTTTTTTATGGTATAAACATTTTTCCCTTCCCCTGCCCCCCTCTCCTCTGTGAAGCATCCTCAGTAATACCAGAAGATCCATATGTATTTTACAGCACAGGAAGTTCTACTGGGAGGGAAGGAGAGGGGAAGGAGTGGCAAAAGTAGTTATCAACTCCACATCACATATGAGCCAAGGCAGGATCCGCTTTCCAGACTCATTCCCAAACTGCTGCATGTACCTACAGCTGCCTTCACCCCACGGCTCAAAGCTCCTATCTTCTCCCATACTGCTGATGGTACAACAGCAGCACCGATAGCTTGTGTGTCTGAGCAGCCTTCTTGCACAGAGAAAAAGGGGGAATATGTACAGATTTTAAAATACACCTCTCTGGTAGGAAGGCCAAGAACAGAGGAGGCCCTTTCACAGTATGAGCAGGCTTGCTCAAAGCCTGCAGCTGGCAGTAGATGGCAGATGGACATTTTCTTTCTGTCACCACTTCTCCCACCAAAGCAGCAAGAGAGATGTTGCCAGGCCGCCTCTGTCTCTGCCTACAGACCAAGATAAACTGCACAGAGGTGGGTGAAGAGCAGCATGTTGAAGCAACTGATAGAAACCTGTCTCCTTTCTGAAATACCTCTTCAGCTTCTGCTTTGGAATATGCTGCATAATGGAATGCATATTCTGTGATTTATCCTTAAGTTGCACCTTTTTACTAGCTATTTTTAAATAACTATCTAAGCAATCTGCACAATCCCTAAAATCCAGTATAATAATTATGTTATCAGTTATGTTACAGTTACCACAGTAATCAAAGGTAATAAATCACCATCATGGAAATTTCTTATAGCTGCAATAAGATTTTCAAAACACTTGATGTAAAACCAAAGCAAACAGATACTGACAGTCTTTTCAGAAATTGTTCAACAGACAAACAAAGCTCTCAAATGAACTTACAGGTATTCTGGAAAATACTGGCTGGTCAGAGGGAGCCAGATTTATTTTTAAACAGCTATTGAGTACTGAAATCAGCCTCACCCAGTGTCTGGTATTAAAGTGCACTCGGTAGCCCGCACTTTTCTGGTATCTGAACTTTTAGGAAAATGTTCCCATGACTATGGCCACCAGGCTCTTCTGACATTTTGTCACAGCAGCTGCTTCCCTCCCTGCCAATCCCACACACTCAAATGCAACAAAACAAGCAAAATCCTTACATCCCCTCTCCTGGCATGCTTCCATAAGACTGCTGCCTGCAGAACTCCTGGAGCAGTGGAACAGAAGGGGCAGAGGAACCCACCTCTACAGCCTGGCCACCCCTGCACCCCTGCCCGTGGTACAGGGCAGCATGGGAAGGGAAACCCTCACTTGAGCAGCAAGCCCCCTCCTTTGTAGTACAGCCTTTGCAGCCCTTTTCACTCCCAATTCAGCTCGCCTCCAGTATCAAGCTCAATGCAGCAATGATAGTTCTCTACTTCAAGCAGATTTGAGAACACTGAGCAAGGCACTGATAGCCATCCCTGAAGGTACACCCTGACCCAGGCTCAGCATCTAAATCAAAGGGAAATAATCTCTGTGACCCTTGAGGCTCGCAGCTGTTTTACCCAGAACATCTTCTGACCCTTCCTCTGAAAGGCCCAATCCTCCCATCACTTTCCCATTCAATTAAACAGTACTTAGATATGAAGAGCTGCTGATTTCATACACTTCCTTGCTTGATTAAGGCTTGCTCATCAGGAACAATTCAGTGAAGGGGCTTGGATGGATTAACTTAGCTAACTTGCATATATATCTTAATGCAGACAAATGGGTTGTTTTTCTCTTATTAATATCAGCTATTATTTTTATTTCTGCTTTGAGTCATATTCTGAACCTCAGTCAAGCAAGACTTCTTGACTGCAGAGAAGAGCTGACTGAGGAATTAATCTTTACAATTTAATGGAACACGTATGTGTTTGCCTCAGTCTGATAATGTATGCAGACTATTATCTTGATAATAGTGGGAGAGCAGACTTCCTATTTGCAAATGACAGAAGGGAATAAACCAAAGGAAACTTGCATCTTCAGCTATCCAGTGGATAAAGAACTGCTTTGCCCATTTCCATTTCCACTTTCACTCTGCAGAGATTAATGTATTTGTTTTGAAGTATTTAGATTATCTCAGATTTAGTAAAACAATTTGGGAGATTTCTTTTAATAAAATGTAAACTTTGCACAAAACTTTACCTAATATTTACCTGAAAGGCAAATTTAGAGTTTGCATTTTGTACCATAAATAATACATTTCTGAACACTCTATGTAATCTACAATAATTTATATAAAAATTATAGCTGACATCTACAAAATAAGTCCTAAGAAATAGAGGGTCCTGAAGACAAATCTCCCATGTTGCATGCAAACAACAGAACACTTCTGCAAAGGCTATGGGACATTTCACACAAGACAACAGCAACAAATAGCATCTTGTAGTCGCCATGCCAACAAACACACAGAGAAAGAAACACACAACTGGTGACTAAATGTTTGGAAATATTATACAATAAATATTGCTATTCTCAAATTTACAAAGAAGCTCATAACAAACAAACAAACTTGGGATTTAGTACAATGAGAAAATGCTAAAATACTATATACCAAAACAAAAATATTTTCATCAATAAGTATCAAAAGTGAAGTATACTTACTAGCAAAAAGAGCTACTATGAATACATTTTTCATGGATACCATTTTGATATAAGCATTAATATACCAAATATGACAATGGAGTGTATTTCCCTTGTTTAAAGCTGAAAGTTAGAAAACATGAAACATGCTTCCCTCAGAGTAGCAAAACAAATCACTTGAAAAATCAGTGTTCCTTCCTTTCACAAAAATATGTGAGTTTTCATGAGCATCAAAACCCAAGCACATTTAAAAAGAAAAACATAAAAAGGAAATTCTTACTTTAACTTCCACTGTCTTCCCACCTTGCTCAATATGCCTCTCAAGATATTCAGAAGACAGCAGGTCACTGCAAGAAGACAAAAAAAAGAACCATAAGCCTTGCACATGTGTTGTACTCCTTCTCAGCAAGCACTGATTAAACATTTACATTTGAAAGGGGCAAAACCTGCAGGATACTTTTCCTAAAATGTTCATAAAAATCACTGAAACAGCCAATTCCAATGGAGTTACATAGTGCATGGGATACACTGATTTTTAGCAGCAGAAGGTGGGACAAGGAAAACTGAGGGGAGTTTCTTCATGGAAGGTCCAAAACCAGCCACTGACACCGACTGTAATTCAAGAGACTCTTCTATTTGCTGCTAAAAGCGAACAGCAAAGAAGTTAGGTGAACTTCAAAGAAAGAAAAAATCAGAAGTATGGGAAGCCATTTGGAATCTGAGGGAAAACAGCAGCTGTGTTGGCAGGTTTCAAAGGACACAATGGCACAACAATGACATCACCTTCTAAGACCAAGATGGTGGGCTCAGGGCCACACCACAGAGGCAGGCAAAGCCATGGGCCCCAGGAGCTGCAGCCCAGGCAGGCTCACAGCACAGCTGTACACACTCCCTGGGAGCCCTGCAGCTTTAGCAACGCCAGAGGAAAAGGCTCAGGGCAATAGCAATCCCAGCCTCCAAGTATACAAGGACTTGGAACAAATACCAAGGAGAAAAAACAATCAGACCTGAGGCAAACATATATAAATTAAATGCAGGCTGTATTTACTAAGCAATTCAAATGCTAAACCAGTCAAATTATCTTTCTCATAGTTATTTTCTAGTCAGGCAAACCACAGAATCACAGAATTGGTAAGATTGGAAGAGACCACATTATTTACATCATAAATTTCACTAAGCAGGTTTACAGACTACAAAACTTTACTGAGATTAAATCAGTATAAAGTCTTGCTATTGTTCCACCTCAGTGACAATTAAGCTGGAAGAGATGATGCATTGGTAAAGAAAGCCTGACAAGAGGCAGGTTGGCCACTGGGGCAGGAGGCAGTGAGCACAAACCTGCTCAGCAGAAGAGGCAAAAATCTAGTATTTCTCCTTCAAATAGCAAAACACCTGAGATTAGACATGAACTGACCTGATGAGGGAGAGCAGGAGCAGCAGAGCAGCCCCAGGGCAGTGGCTGCTCAGCTTTCCAGGGCTTCGCCCTGGCCAAACAGGCAGCCGGACCATGGACATTTTTGCTCACAGAGACACTGGTGACTGCCCTGAGTGAGCCCCAAGCAGGACAAAGTTGGAAGTATGGATCCTCCAATATCATCCCTAAAAACTGCCAGATTGATATTTGCATTAATTACCTAGGCACAGAATTCAGGAGCATTCCAATGAAATATGCTGATAATGTTAAACTGGAAAGCATGGAAAATAAAAAAGATTGAAAAAAACTCCCATAGGAAAGACCTGGATGATCTTCAGGACTGGTTATTAGAAATAGGATCAAATTCAATTGTACAAACAGCAAATTTCTGCACTTAAGGGCTGGAGGGAATTTCTATTACATTTTTTGGAAGGCCTGGTTTATAAGGAAGAAAGACATGACCACACTTGTTTCTGGCAAAATGATTTGGCAGATCAATAGAATGTCTTCCTGGAAAACACAACTGTCATCCCAGAATACATCAAAGATGCATTTCCAGTCAAACTGAGGTATGATTAATATCACTGCCCAAAGGAGACTTCTTTTCAAATACTGCAGACAGGTACTGGACAGCTTTGCTTACGAAGTTCCATTACCTGGAAACACAGAGGGGTTCCTGAAGTCTAGCAAAAAATTGAGTTGTGAGGGAATGTGAATGCACCTCAATTTACACACCACAATGCAGGAGCAACTAATTGGGCTACAAAAGATACTGGCAGAATCTCAAAGGCAAAAGGACTGTCAATGAGCCAATGGAAACTGGATGTTAAAAAAAAAAAACTTTGTATCAAACTCTAAGGGACAGAGGCAACAAAATGAGGGATGCTACCAAATTTCCGAATGGAAGCATCCATGGGACACTTGTCCATGGAGGTGGGGTTTCGTCTGACTCAGTGAGTTCACAGCTGGTCGCTGCTGAAAGCTGGAAGCCTCAATGCCCCCTCAGGAGCAAGCACTGAACCTACCCTGTGTCAGCACAAACACTCATCAAAACACCCTCAGAGCCAGAGCTAACACTCATCAAAATACTCTTGGTATCAGCACTGGCACTCATCAAACTACATGCGGGAGGGTTCACAAAACCATGGTTTTGCTGCATTAGGTACTGAAATCCCTTGAAAAGAGATACAATCAGCTCTAGAGCTGATGCAAAGAAGGGAATGAGCAGGTCTCAATAAGGATGAAAGAAAGAATAAGTGACTCCCTTGACCACTGCAGAACCAGCGTGAACCCCTTTAATTCTGGCCAGTCCCAATATCGATATTGATGCCTGGCACACTGCCTGCAGATGACCCATTACTGAGGAGTACCTAATAGAGATGCTGTTGAGTTCCTGATTACAATACTCTGATTCCTCTTAGAAGCAAATATTAAATATTTAGGATACTCATGTCCTGAGGGAAGCTCAAAGACTTCCATAAGGTCTTGTATGCATTTTCCAGATTTAGTAATTTAGACAGATGTTCTCTTAAAATGTATTTTGTTTAGCTTGCTGAAGTTAGTGATATAGTTTCCTGGCATTGACTACACTCTTTCAGCAGAAGTTTATTGTCACCCTGATTTTTTAAGATTTTCTAAAGCCTTCTGAGTTTACATTCTTGTAGCAAACTTTCTCACACAGCTTTCTGTAAATAATTTACTGGTTTTGCATTCCTTCATAGAGGAATTAAAATTTGATGGACTGGTAGATTGTCCAGTGTCATTGGAGAGGTGGCACTTTCACCCTCCAATCCACTGTAACCCTTGGAAAACTATAAATGTTAGAGTCAAAAATAAACTTTTCTCTTTTACCGTCACAAGAGCAGAAGAGTGTGTCATGTTTTCTCGTGTCCTATAGTGACAGTTTATGCTTCCATAACTTCAATAAAGATTAATTTATAGCTTAAGGCTCTACCTTTACTCTTCATTATTTCAGGGGGACTCAGTTAAACTAATGTCATCCTCCTATTGGATGGACACAAAGGTTTTCATGCCAAGAAAGATGCAAGAGATTATAAAATGTAAGATACTAAAGCAAGTATACAGTACAAAGACTGAGATCAAACAGAATGGCTTAACTGAGGAAGACCTTAGAGATGTATTTGGAGGGATGACAAGGAGAAACACAGGTTCTTCTCATGTGGGTCTAGCAAAATTACTTCTTTTTAAAAGACACTGCTGTTAATGTTTTAATGTTCTGGAAGATCATATGTTATGTTCTCAAAAATCTTGAAATTGTGTCTTGCATGAGAAAATAAAGACATTGATCATTCTCTGCCTTGTACAACACAAGAATTAAAAGGTAACAAAAGAGGTCAGTAAGCTCAAAACTATGTAAAAAGAGCCTTTTCTGGCACAGTTGCTGATTACAATGTTCAGCATAGTGCAGGAAAGCACTCTGCTAGAGGTTTGTACTGATTCAAGCCAGGAATGGACAAGTTAGTGGACATAACTTGGATCTACAAGAATGTTGGGGTTTTTATGATATTTTCAGTGCCAAACACACAGACACTGTACCTGACTCAAAGTGTTGGAGTCCTGGAAAAGAGCTCTGGAGAAGCCTCAAACATGCTTGTTCAGCTCTCCCACTTTTCCCTCACCACCAGCCCTGGGCCACTGGGACTGGACAGTTGGCCAAGCATCCCTCTGACCTGGCCTGGGCTCTGCCTGCACCTTGGAAGGGTCCTGCTTCTCCTCAGGGTTACACAGTGTCCTGTGTCATCCAGCTCCAGGGCTGCTGATGGTCAGTCAGCTGCTCTTCTCCCACCCACCACCCCAGTGATGGACATCCTCAGGCTGTTCAAGTTGTATTTACTTTCAAAGTAGCCAAAAGAACAATTTCTAAACAGGCCCATCCATTTTTTCATCCTGTTCAGTCCTTACTTTGAGGACAAAGGGCTGGAAACAGTTGGGGATCTGCTGGCATTCCCACCTCTCTCAAGATCTGTCACAAGTGCTGTGATTCCCAAAATGAGCCTGTCTGGAAGGGAAACACCACAAGGTCACCTGCCTGCACAGCTCCTGGGAACTGAGTCCACAGCTTGCAAACAGACCACAGATCTGAAATGTAGAGACATTTCTAAAGCCTATCATAAGTAACATGGCAGGATATGTCTGAGAATATTTTATCAGTAGAAAAACCCATAAATGAAGCCATGTTATGCTTTTTTATTATGATTCACAGAACTGAAAATATCATAAAAACCACAACACTCTTGCAGATCCAATAATGCAACCAATGCTATTAAAAAATAAGCTACAAACTAACCATTATACACAATCTATAAACTCAGGCCAGAAGGTATCACCTCCTTGGTGGAGTCGTGTTTTGTCTGCAGCAGTACAGGCACAAAACTGGATCATTTTAATAGAAGGCCTTCCTTTACAACAAACAAAAATCTAGATTAAAATACTGTGAAACATGATTAAAATTATTTAATCAAGATAAGACAACAAGCATTAAAATAATATGCATTCCAACATAAATAAATACACACTGTCCTATGGTAGAAATGAAACAGGAATAATTTAGCTTGCCTGCCAATCTATCCTAGAAACTGTCAGCTTAAGTGGTAGTTTTAGTATTAATTATAAAATAAAACAGACATATTAAAAAATGAAATTCAAAAAAAGGAGATTGTGAAAAAAATCTTGGAAACACAAGGGATGGAAAAATTACTGAGAAAAAACACCAACACTATAACTGACAATATTGCAGAATGAGATTTTCAGAAATATTTGCTGAGGCATTGGTACAAAAGTTTTGAAAATACATGGAAAAAACTGCATATGTTAACACCTAAAAAGAAAATATTTCACAGGAAAAAAAGCACATGTGATCTGTTGCTTTTACAAGGAAAAACACTGCTATGCTACCAATGGCAATCTGTTGTC